GGTGGGGGGGGGGGGGAAACTGGAAACTGATGGAAGCTCAGTGTCATTAAGAAGCATTCAGAACTTCAGACCAGTTTGGAATCTCTCTGTGTAGCTCTATTTCTATTTTTAATTTATGCATATAGAAAAAAATATTAATTGGGACAAAAAAACCCTTGAGTGAGTTTGCTCTTTTGATCTGCAAGAAAATTTGGAAGTAGTGTATCTTCACTTTTGTGAAGCACTACAGCTCGAGGGCTGCTCATTTCCCCAGCCAGCCCTGCAGAGCAAGGGCAGCCAACCACACACTCCTGACACATTGTGCTCAGGTCCCTCTGACTCCCACGGGAGGAGCTGAGTGTTCAGGAGAAGGAGCTTCACAACAGCAAGCTCTCTCCTGAGTGTCACTAGTGGTCCAGATATCAACTACAGTAAATCTAGGACACACTTCCTAAACCCAGAATTGAGGTCATCACATACCATGGTGTGCATTTTAACCTCTTTACTCTGGGCTCTTTTTTCAAACGCCAGAGAAAAAATATGGTCTTCAAATGCACTGCTGCTGTTGCTGAACGCGACAGAGGTTTTAGTGAGCTTGGTTGTTTTTACAAATCATGTCCAGCTGTTTCACTTGATATGAATAAGTAATAGGAGTTGTGCATCTAAATTTAACTTTTGTAGGGTGCTGTATGCCCGTGTTACATAAGTGATGACTGCAGAACTAAAAACTTGAGTAATAAAAAAAGCCAAATCCAAGAATTGTTCCAAGAATCCAAGAATCTTCTTCATTCAGAGGACAGTGATTGAGTATGCAGCAGCCTTCAGCCTGTTAGGGGGCTATGTGCATTGCTGATTTCTGGTTTCAAAGAAAAAGGGGTGAGTAAAGTTCAGGTCATTACTGAGCATATACAGCAAGAACAGTGCTTCAAGAATTTGGAAGCTAAACCAGAGTGGACTATTTTAATATTCCAAATTAAGACTAGTTAAAATATAGAAATGGAATATATTGAGATGGGGGAAATAGACAATGCATATCATAGGTGATAAAATCATAGAACTGTTCTGTTTGGAAGGGATCTTCAAGTTCATCACATTGAACTGTTAACTCAGCACTGCCAGGTCACCTCTAAAGTAAAGGACCACATCTACACAGCTTTCAAATCCTTCCAGGGATGGTGATATCAGTTAATATTTTGAAAAAAAAATTGAAATCTTTCATCTCTTTGTAAAAAAGTGAATGGTTTACACGGTTTGTAGGATGGTGTTTTCAGATCTCATTATTAACAAATAGTTGAAGAGAAATTGTAATTTATTTTTTTTTTAAAGCGCTTTAGAGCACAGTGCAGTACATTTGAGGATTTTTCACTTGGCTGAATGATAACATGACACTGTTTAGTAGACAACACAACCATACAAAGAAAATAGACTGTGAAGTAATTGAGCAACTAAAAAAGGGTATTTTAAACCTAGAGGGAAAAAAAGCAATGAAGAAATTTGTTTGTTTTTTTTTTTTACTCATGAGATTCAGGCACATAGGAATGATGTGGTATCATTTAGGACCTGTTAAAGGACGTGTTATATCTGATAAATGATTCTTACAACCTTTACGTTTAAAACTATGAAGAAAATTTAAAGCCATAGGTTCAGTGATGAAGCAGTTATATACCTTAGAGACAGTCATGTCAAGAATCATTTTTCTTAGAGTTAGTTAAATAATTGTCTGATATTTGAGATTATATGCCTGCTGGGTGAAGGAGTGTTTTATTTTGGTTTTGTTTTGGTGTTTTTTTGGCTTTAGGGTTTGGGTTTTTTTGATGTTTGTGTGCTGGGTGTATGGAGACATACATCAGACATGTACCGAAAACAAGCCACCATTAGAAATTGTGTGCAGCAGGTATTCTCCATTGTTGGGATATAGTAAAACCTAGAACAATAAAGGACAAACTAGCTAAAGGTCACTTGTTAGAGAATATTTACTACTGTGCTGATGAGACAAATTGACTCCAGAGCAAATGATCTTACAGGGCAGAAGAGAGTGAATTTTCATTAAGTGATTGACCAAATGTAAACCATGAAGCAAGAATGAATGAAGGCTCACAATATTCA